TATCATTGTTTAGGCCCTGGACGTTATGGTTTGCAATTGTGAGACTTGCTATTTGTTTTGTGGCATCTTGATTTAAAGGAGTATTTATATTGTTTCATTGGTTGTATTAGACGGTAAGTCACTTCTTGGTGTAGATGTATTGCTCATAATAAAATTTGTTGTGGGTATGTACTTGTCTTCTCTTTGTTGGTTAGGTTGTTATGTGTTGTATGAGTTGTGTAGGGATTTGAAGGTGTGTAGTTGTCAAAGATGTCCCAGTCTGGTTCAGATAGGTCTGGAAGTATTAATAGATATTCAGGAATTGTATGGAGTATAAAGTGAGACTTAATCCTTTCGATGATTTCTAGGGCTTTTGTTCTATCTTGAATGGGAATTAGTTCCTTTAGTTCGGGGTTAATTTATTTATATCATATTTTTCAGTGAAGGTCTATAATAATATAAGTATATATAAATAATATATAACTTGTATATATTTATAATTAATAAAAAATTATACTTATATGTAAAGCCATTTTAGATCTAAAAATACTATCAAAGCAATAATAATATAAGTTCTATCTTGTTTCTCTAGAATGAATTAATGCAAAATATTTATTATAAGCAAGTATTTATTCATATTAAAATTGTCTAAGCCAATAGGTTAATATATTAAAAAAAGAAAGAAGTGAACATGTATCTGTTAATACTTTTATATAATTTGAATTACTTTTAAATATATCAGCTACACATAAATTTGCCTGATAAGCAAAACAAGACAAATATAATATATTATATCTTTGAAATTGAAGTCTAAATTTAAATATAATAACAATAAAAACAATTTAATAAATTAAAAAGTAATATATAAAATTAATTTAAACTAACTTTACAGCCATATTTTTAGCCACTAAATCTATAACAAAAACAATTATTTTTATATTTTGATCTTTAACTTTTTAAAAAGTTCTTCATAATGAGTAATTACTTTTTTTTCATTCTCATAAAAGGCTAATATTTTCAACATCTTATATTAATACTTTACTTTTAAGGTAAGAAATATTATACCTATTAATTTTTGTTTAACAATGTTTTTCCATCTATCAAAGGCTATAATTATTCCTTGTAAATCTTGTTGTGCTATTGTAATTTGAGCTTGTATTATTTTTTTTGTAACCTCTTCTAAAATTTTGTTTGATAATGCTTTATAATTTGGTAAATAAAGATTTAACCATAAAAAAAGTGCTTTAGTTTCTCAGTTTTCTGCCTATCTAAATGCCTAACTATTTGATATAGTTATATAAAGAAGTAATAAATTAAATATTTATTAATCTTTGCTATTTAATTTTCATGTTAAATTTAAAGTTACTTTTAATTCTAAAATAAAACTTAAGCTTGAATTATTTGTAAGCAATTGAACTGATTCATTATTATCATCAATAAAAAAATCAAGTTCTTGTCTAATTCTTTTTAATAAATTTCTTTTTTTTAATTTAGCATTTAAAATAAGAATTTTACTAATCTCTTCATCTGAAAACTTATTAGCAAAATATGAGCATTTGTAAAGATGAGCTAAACAAGAATTTACAACATTTGTAACCTTGCTAGTTAAAAGTGCTTGTAAATATCCATAATAATCAACACAGTATTTACAAACAGCTGTTCTATTTACACTGTTTGCTATTTCTTCTAAAACTAAAAATATTTACTTAACCAATGTTTTGGTTTACCACCAGCATGAGACATATTCAAAAAATTTTTAAAGTTTGCTTGTTAATGAAAACAATTATTAAATTTATTTTAAGCAAACTTTATATAATATAAGTTTAAACAAGTTTATTAATAATTAAAAGTTTAAATCTTAAAATTACTTAAACTATTTTTTAATGTAACTAAATTTTAATTGGTAACTGTATACTGTGCCATATTGGACAAATAAACAATCAATAAACATTGTTTATTGAAACATTTGTTCATTTAATTAAACAATGTTTATTCACAACACTGGCACGAATGGATCTTAATGCAATTATAAATCTTTCAAATCGAATTAATAAAATTAGAAAATATTGAATCAAATGCAAACTTAATAGCAATTGCGATTGAGATTGTGAGGTATTATAGAAAGATGATGGATATTTTTATCATAAGCATTATATTATTCACTTATTGGTGCAATTACCATCAAGAGTTTGAAAAAAAGACAAAAAAGTTTAGACAATTCTAAACACGTAATACAGAGCATCTTGCAGCCTCATTCTTCAGAAAGGTTTGATAAGTTTATCTTTATATTATTTCAATTTAGGTTCGATGGAATTCATATTATCCCATTAATTGAAGAAGCCGAAAAAGTGATAGGAAGAAAATTCACATATCGCCTGATGATGCACAACTTCTATAACGATTAATTCAGCAGTTCTTGATAATAACGATAATAATATTGTAGAAGATGATGATCAAGTGATTGGAAATTATGACTTAATACTAAAAAATTCTTTATGAAATATAATTTATTTATTGTTTTTATCAAATTAAATTATAAATAAAAATATCTAAATTTGATATCTAATATAGGCGCTTGACCTTCTTGAAAGTCTTATAGCCTTTTGCAACCAATATTGAATCAATTTTACGTCAATTCAAAAGATAATAGACGACATAAAGAATCTGAACTAAGCAAAAAACCTACAAGAACCTGGAACACACGAAATAAACTACTCTTTTTTTTTATTAGTAAACTAAAATTCATGAACATTTACCAAATAAATTTCGAATAACCATTTTTCTTGACGCAATAAAAATCTATGATATAGTAGATATAGTATGTAAAGTTAGGTAATAATTGTTTAGAACAAATTTCGAATAAACACTTTTTTTTACGCAATAAAAAATTTTATATTATTTAATACTGTAATAATAATAATAACGATGATAGTATGTCGGGTTATGAGATCCGGTTAAGTAAAATCTCAGATCAGATTTTAAACAGCGATTACGTACGTAACTGATCGTGGTGGTTATGCTAGAGGGGTTCCAAATCCCAATATGACATCAGAATTTTAGTATTGTCGGGACTTTAACCTGACAGGATTTTGGTACTTTTGGGATTTTGATTTTCGGGATTCTGTGGTAGTACCCAAACGGTTAATGCAAACTGTTGTGTAGCATATCCTACATAACCTTAGTGGATGAGGTGAATACTAATACCATCAACAAAAATTGCAATATATTTTGTTACAATGAAGCTACCGATCTGAAAAGACATCACTGTAGCTTATGCTGAGAGAATACTATATATATCGAGAGTATGAATACCATAATTTATAATTCTTTGCTATATTGAATCTTTACTACTGTATATCGAGAGTAAGTTATATAAATTTCTTGCTAATTTATAGCTTAAATGTAAATTTTATAAGGCAATTGAGCAAGATATTCTAATTTGGCAAATCTGTTCAACATTTTTATGTTTTTTAACTAAACAGTATAACGTCCTATTATAAATAGAACATAGAATATTGATAGACAAAAACGGATTGTAAATGTATTGAAGGTCACTAATTTAAGCAACATACATTTAGATTCATCCAGTCATACACCAAATTTCCAGTTTGTTGTCTTTTTTATACAATTTCGAAGCAGTATCGAAATCGGTAGTGTTAACTATGGTAATATATTCACCATCTTCATCCTTATAATAAAATTTTGTTATATTACGAACATTAAAAGCATCAATGATAGTATGCCTAATATCTTCGAATTGAGAATGAGATTTGAAGCGTAGAATACGGATATCATCATCTACATGGCACTTAATTAAAAAATCTTCACCCTACCATTTTTTCAAATTGATGTACTGTAAATGAAACATATGAAACATATTATAAAAATAAAATAGATATTTAATACCTGAGTCAAGTGTAAGCTAGTAATACGACCCCAATTGGCATTATGAGTTTTATTGGCCTTGAATTTATTATTCCTATTCACAAGATAATGTATGTGTAATCCAGCCATGTCTATAGCTTGTTGCGGTGTTTTTTCTTGAGCAATCATGCTAATAGATGACGTTCTACCTATAAATTAATCATGGTCGTTAATTTCAAAAGTAAGAAATAGAATTATAAAAATAAAAATATAAAAATATGAAATATCGATATAGGAATATTAAAAGTACAGAAAATAAAAAATATAGATATAGAATACTAACTCAAATTTTCACGTATAGGATCATCATCAACGAAGCCATCCTTTGAAGCATATGAAATCTGTAATTGAGAAGTTTTAACAGATATGCACAATCATATATTTGACAAGCTAACATTTTGTCCAAATAAATCGCTCACCAAATTGGAGCAGTCCTTTTTCAATGTTAATACTATAAGATTATGTTGCACCTTAGAGATGGCATCCAAAGCATCAATGGGAATATAGATCTTTGCTTTATTTTCGTTTAAAAAAATAGAAATTCCTTCTTCAAGATATTTATATCGAAATCTCAATTTGTAATCATTAACAGTATCAATAGTTTCCTGATATTCATTGATGCTAATGCTTGCAAGATGAAACTCAATATGTTGTGGCTGATAATATTGACGTAAATTGTTTTCCCTCCCATAATTTTGTGTCTTTCTGTTATTTTGTGTTCTTTTGGTGAAAGTATTACGTTGAAATTGCTTCGAGTGTCCGTCTGAATTAACATTAGAATAAACATTTGTGCTCTCGTGATCGTTGGTTTCATTATAGTACTCATTGCTAATTGGTTTCGCGTGAACCTTGATTTCATCGACGTGTGAGAAATTACGGTAATATATCTAAATTAACGGATAATAACAATGCTCACCCATAGATCATCATCCATTGTTTGAATGTTTATTAAGGTTTGTAAACTTTGACATTGATTATTTATTTCTTGAATTTATCTTTAAGGACTTATATGTCATAAATTTGCGAATAGTTGTTTTTTATTTTTTTTTTATCAAAAAGAGATTTCAAAAAAGTAAATCCTTCACATTTAAACCATCTATCAATATAAGCCACGACGGTTTTAAAATATGCGTAATTTCTATTAAGCAAACGATTATATAATTTTAGGCAAGAACTTTGCCTGTATCTGGGCTTAACGTGACACCATTAAAGTTAAATCTAATTTTACGGTTTTAGCCGTTGATATATTTGCTCAAAACATTAGTCATATCGATATTCGCTCGATCGATCGATATTAATTAATATTTGTTTGTCACTTATCTTCTGTTCTCTCTATGTATTGTAGATATTTAATACATATAGTTCGGTAAGCAATATAAATCTGACATTTTTTTTCGGTGAAAAACGACCATTTTTTTAATAAAATTTTAAAGTAGCAACATCCTCTGCTCAAAATATACAGCACTCGTACAAATACAAATGTTACATTTATTTAATCATGTGACTAAACATTAAATTCACGAAACAAATACGTATTTAACATTATTGAAATTACGATATAAAATAAATAAAACTACTCTAAATTACATTTCCTTTGAGCTTTAACGAAAGAATTAACGAAAGCTTTTTAATGTAAACTTTAATGTAAGCTTCAATGGCGGTGTTTCTCCTCATGCATTATTAATACTTCAAAATAATATATAGTGCATGGATAATTCCTAGATGTAGCAAAAAAAAAAAAATACACGCGTATGTTTATAAATAAAATGTATTCGAATTTGACAATTTTACTAATATATACATACCAGGAATGTAACCGAGCAACGTTAACAAAATATTAATTAACAAGTCTTGGCCGCAACCACGTTCAAGAAAAACTCCAAGTGGTGGCAAGAAAATTGCAGCAATAATTTTGCAAATGTCGAGAACTTCCAAAGGCATTTTTGTTATATTTTTTTTTTCTTTTTTTTGTTAGTGTGGTGCGTGAATGGAATTTAAAATGAATAAATTGTAGAAATAGCACCTTTTTATAAAAATTCTTACAATAACACGAAGACAGTACAGTACGTACGTGGGTTAATACTGTAATATTGTGCACAAGATCTACAGTTTATGATATAGGTATGACCTAATAGGCTTGCCTATTTTCGATAATTAATTTACGTATGACATATATGGTTGGTTTAGGCGTTTTCAACAACACTATGCAATACTTTCGTCTTTTACATTTAGGATTTAAACTTTATTGCTATTTCGTCATACATCTTCGGATCCGTACATTAGCCTCGAGAATTTTGCTTGCACAGCCTGGCTTGCCATATCCAAGCCTCATAAGACCCGTGAATTAGTTCTCTTAAAATTATGTGGCCAATTCAAAAAAAGCCCCTAGCTGTCCCACAAAAAATTGGTCACCCCTTGCAATTAGTGACAAATAGGTAGGCGTGATATTTAGACATTTTACA